AATCAGAAAAATGACAAGCCTTTGTGAATAAAATCAAAAGCAACAGGCAAACGGGAGAAAAGAGAAAGTCGGATGAGTGGACGAGCCAGTTCTCCGATCCTCACCAGGACACAAACAACAACCTGAAATCATGATCATGGTCATGGTCATGATGATGATGATCATCATCATCATCATTATGTTATAGTGATGAGCAGATAAACACAATGATGAAATTAACGGAGATGACATAAGCACTTGAAAGAACCAAACTAAGAATAACTGTCATCATGATCATGATCATGATGATCATCAGCATCATCATGACCATCATCATGATGATGATCATCATCATCCAGATCAGAATAGAAACAAATAAAGCGAGAAAATAAAACCAAACAAAGCCAGCTGGAATAGTGATATTAGTAGTAGCAATAGTAACATCTTCAGTAGTCGTTCTGGAAGTTGGTATAGAGATTCAATGATGAAGAAGCGGCTAGTACAACTAATATTATTGCTACTACAACTGTAGTCCCAAATCAGCATTATTACTACTAATACTATTGTTGATACTATTACTACTTCTATTGTTCTTTGAGTGAGAGAAAGAGAGAATCGTGAGTGATGGATACGAACAGAGTGCGATAGATAGATAGATAGATAGATAGATAGATAGATAGATAGATAGATAGATAATGAAAAAGAGAACGAAATAAATAGATGTTGTGAAGGGGAGAGAGAGAGAGAGAGGGAGAGAGAGAGGGAGAGGGAGAGAGAGTGTGTGTGTGTGTGTGTAGTTAGCATAAAATAAGAAAATGGGCTTGAGAATTAAAAGCGTTAAAGTGTGAACGTAGGAGACGAAAAGAGAGACCCAAATAATCTGAGAAAGAGAGAAAAATGAAGGAATGTCGGGAGATACAAGCTATAGAGAGAACGAAAGGAAATTTAAAGGAAAATATACTGAAAAATAAAAGTCAAAGAAATTTGAACGGTGACAATGTGCAGAAGTGATTGAAGGAGAGAGAGAGAGAGAGAGAGAGAGAGAGAGAGAGAGAGAGAGAGAGAGATTTGATTGAAAGAGAAAGAAGAGATGGAACAGATGGAAATAAATTAAGTTATATGCATATATATATATATATATACACACACACACACATATATATATATGAGAGAGAGAGAGAGAGAGAGAGAGAGAGAGAGAAAGGAAGAAAGAGAGAAAGAAGATCAAGTGAAAGGGAGAGCATAAGGAACAAATTTATTGAGAAAGACATAAATTGGAGATGGATATATTGTGTAATATTGAGATATGTTCACATTTATAGACGGATAGAAAGATAGATGAGTCAGGATAACTAGTAGTAGTAGGGATAATAATAATAATAATAATAATAATAATAATAATAATAATAATAATAATCTACTAATTATCATTATTTCCATGCTGGATGCTATCAGCTTCTAAATCATCATAGCAGTCGTATCTCGGCATCATTAAGAACAACAACAACAACAACTGCACCAAGAGAAGCAGTAGCAGCAGTTACAGTCGAGGAGGAGGAGGAGGCGGTGGAGGCTGTAGTGGTGGTAAAACTAAGAGATACAAGAGCTGATCGTACTGAAGGGTGCTGGCGTGTGTGTCAGGCTTACAAAACGGTGTGATATATACCTTTTTTACTTACCTATTTACATAGTGAAGCAAGTACCCCAAAGACGAAGAGGGGTCGTCAAGGAGCCAGAATTAGAGCAACAAAAGACAGGAAGGTGTGGAGAGCCATGATCGCCCTCGTTTTCAAGGGACATGGCACAAAGCGAGAGAGAGAGAGAGAAAGCTACCTAATGATGAAAAACCAGTTATAAGAGAGAAAACCAGTTAAAGTAAAAAAAATCAAAAACAAAAAAAAACGACAAAAAAGGGGTACCTATTTATTTATTATTTCTGCTCTAACCTGAGCTAAAGAAAACAAATAGTCCAAGCTAACATATTTACACATACTGTAACATCGTGCAAGTGTTTATAAGTACCCCCATCTAAATAGGCAAGCAAACATATATGCGGCCACCTACAACAGGACATTATATCTACACGCCTGCAGACACGCAAACACGCGGACACACAGGATACACAGATATATATATGTGTGTATATATATATATATATTTATATATACGAGGAATAAATAACCACATAAATAACGTTCCTACTCGGGCCATCAAACGAAAGAGTTAGAGAAACACGCGGCTACTGGAGCTACCATCATTTGGAGAGAGAAAAAAAAGAGGAGAGTCTCTACTCACAAGAGGAGAGTTGTTCTTTTAAAGCATCTACATAAGACAAATTCTTTCAAGTTTTAAAACGGAAAAGAAAGAACTGAGGAGAAAAAGGAATAAGAAAAACGTTGAAAAGTGGAGGCCGTGTTTCGAATCTCGAGGAGTATAGAGCATGGTGGACGATCTGAACGCTAGCCACATCCTGAGAGAGAAGCATGCTTCCTCGTTGTTTTCTGATTCTAATACTCACCTTGCAAGGCGGTAAGTATGGGACGAAAATTCCACTCATTGCCATCGATAGAAATTAATATATCGCTTTGCCTTTTCTTTCATACAATCTACAGATTATTATATTTTTCAGGAAGACTTGTTCATTCTTTCTTTCTCTCCAGCATTTTTGTAAGCAGCAACATGTCGATTTTGTTTATCACGCGTTAACAGTCACTGATTTATTATTATTATTGTTGTTGTTGTTATTATTATTATTATTGTTTATCTTGTTATTAACAACATTTTGATTTTTTTACTGTTGTTGTTGCTTTTATTCTGTCTGAAGTAAATACGTTATGTACAAAATTTTCCGTTTATGTCTGAAAGAATTTTCCTAACAATTAAAAAGAAATAAAATTATAAACATGTACATACATATATACGTTTATATGTATAGTTATATATAAAGAGTGGTGTGTGTGTGTGTGTGTGTGTGTGTGTGTGTGTGTGTGTGTGTGTGTGTGTGTGTGTGTGTGTGTGTGTGTGTATGATATACACATTTATCTCTCTGTTTGAATTAGATTTATCTATCAATTCTTGTCTAGAAAATATGTTTGTTTTCCTGGCTAGTTTCGATTGTATTGAAGTTTTGACAAAATATGAAAACTGAACCATAAAACAAATACAAAATAATATAACTCAGTAAAAGTTTCAATAAAGCCAAAAAAAAAAAAGGAAAGAAAACAAACGCTTGACCCATGTAGATGTCAGTGATGCTGATTGTGGTATTGGTGGGAGATGTGAATTCGTGAAGGTGACAGTAGTGATGGTCGGGACGGTGATAATGCTGCTGCCGACCATGATGATAATGAAGTTTGGACCTCCCACCATTATGGCCGATTATGGGGTACTTGTTTTCAGTCGTGATGTCGTTCGATGGAAGATGATGAAGTCGTCTATGATGATGATTATTATTTAAATGTAGGTAAACACACCCACACAAATACCCAAACGTACACACAATCATGCTTAGGTAAACGTACTCTTCCTCACTCGCGTGCACAAACACACAAATGCAAACACGCATATAAATACACATCAGCTTTCATTTCTTTATTTTTACTATCTAATATTTTATTGAAAACAGGAAAAATCTATTTCTTTCTTTCTTTCTTTCTTTCTTTCTTTCTTTCTTACACTAATGCACAAACGCGTACACATGCGCATCCATGAGTACTACACGCAGACCAATTACAAAGACGTACTCAAATACACCTTCAAATTGTGTTATGAAAGAGTTAATAGACATTTCAGTAATTCACTGACCACAGTCCAAATTCATATTCCAAGATATATTTGTTCACACGCACACACAAGGATAAAGAGGATATATATTTTTTATGCTACCATATATATTTATATGTATTTGTGTATTTGTGTGTATGTGTGCGTATTAAATGTATGAATCTGTCTAAAGAGATAAATAAAAGCGGAAAATGAAGGATCTTGACTGCTTTTTATCAGTTTCTTCCTTTTCTCCCATCTAGTTTGAAATTCTTCCTTTACTTCATTTTTCTTTCAAAGTTAATAATTTCTTCAACATTTACAACTTGTCGAACTCCACTTGTTAATATCTGTCTGTATGTCTGTCTGTTGAGAGAGAGAGAGAGAGAGAGAGAGAGAGAGAGAGAGAGAGGGGGGAGAGAGAGGGGGGAGAGAGAGAGAGAGAGAGAGAGAGAGCGATAAATAAATAAAGAAAATGAAGAGGAAAGTAAAAAAAAAACAACAAAGAAAGATTTTGAAAGAAAAGTGGGGGGTGAAGAGAAAAGAAATCATGGAAACAAGAATTAATAGTGACCTGCAACGTTGTCGATTTTCATGTTTGCTCTCCGTCGAAGAAGAAACTCGTCTAGCATTGTCTTCATTTCCATCTGTTTCACAACATTTCAACAAACGCGATTTCTCTTTCAATCTCGTTCTTTTTCACCGACTTCAGATTTTTTCATCATTATTTCTATTTATACTGACTATATTACAGTCCTTAATCCTTTTTCATCTTTCTTTCCCATTTCTTTTATTTCTTTTTTATTGGCTTGTCTTTCTTTCATGTAACGTCTTTCTTTTCCCCTTTTCTTCTTTCCATCTATCGTCTGCATACCTTCATGAAATTCGTCTCTGTTTACTCCTTTTGGTTTTTTCTCATCTCCCTTTTCACCATTCTCATCCCATCCATTTCTATGCTCCTATCTCTCTTTAAGCAAAATTTGTTATTATTTCTTTTAGTCTTTCTCAAATTTTTGAATTTTCCTCTTTTTTCTCTTTCTCTCTTCCTCATCCCCAATTCACACTTGTGGATTTTTTCTTTATAAAATTCTTCCTCGATGTCTTCTTGCATCGTTTGCTACATCTTTGTCCCAAATTATCCAAACTTTTTTCCTTAATTTTACAAGACCATCTACTAAATGAGGCATTATTAATTACGGATATGTTCAATTAATCAACATTAATTTTCTTTCATCTTTTTTTTTATGTCATATTCTAAAATGTATCTATCTATCTCTCTATCTATCTATCTATCTATCTATCTATCTATCTATCTATCTATCTATCTATCTTCGTGTGAGCATGTGTTGTTTCATAGGATAATGAAGTGATTTCGATCATAACTAGTTGTGACTTGGTGGACCAAACCCATACATACCTGCAGAAAATGGGAAGTTGAAAGAGTTTGAGATGAGATGTATAACACCTTTTTTTTTTTACTTATAATACATCAGTGGGACGTTTTCATTTAATTCAAACCAGTGTGAATTTTATTTTCTGCAAACTATGTTCGTTAAGTATGCGAAACCTGCGTGTATTGCTAAATTTATCTGTCTTTGCGCATGCGTTGTGGCAATCAGGTATGCACGTGTCTATTTAATTAAACTTTTTTGAAACCTAAGTTAACAAATGATAATAATGACGTTCGACTCGGTTCACTGGCAAACGTACGATGTACTTCAAGAATGTTAGATTATGAAAAAGAACAAACAAAAAAACATGGAGTATTATGAGACTTTTGTCGATCTATCAGATGAATCGATGTGAAGACGATTCAGAAGGAATGGCTTTAACCCATTGTTTTATTATTTCGGAAATGACCTTTAAAGAATATGCCTTAAAATCATTGTTTATTCCAGATGTCTGTTATTTGTTTTTAGTAGGACTATAGTTTGCTCTTTCAAGGGATAATTTATCATTTACTATGAGTTTTCGTATAGCTGAGTGCCGTCCATATAATTGGGTTCTTAAAAATCAGAAAAAACTTACATTGGGAGTATTTCTACTTCGGATTCGAAAACTTATACAAAATACTTTATCAAATAATTTGAACATTTGAGTTAAAACTTTTCAACTTTTCATTTCATTTATAAAATTATGAAATAAAATACAAGAAATAAACAAATTATTAACGACTCATTTGTAGCTAACTTGTTTCTTTTCCCTATACGACATTAACACATAAAAAACAGAAACGTACACGTACAAATAACAGTACACATACACATGCAACAAGAAATGCACGTACAAATGCATACTCTCACCATCCCTCACATATAATACATTTGAGTTGTTAATGATTTTTTTGTTTTTCAGAATTTTAATTTATGTCTTATTATTTCGGCAGTAAACCAATAAATTTCTCTGTTTCAAAAATCACATTCTGGTCTCGTCCAGTTCTCGATTCAATTTTATACTAATGATAAAAAGACATACTTGTACCATAGATTGGATTAAAAAGGAACACATTTAAGTACATTCTGCATTTTAGTATAGAGAAATCTCTCTCACTCCCTCTCTCTGTCCATTTCTCAAATCATATAAATGTTGAACCTCATTCCGGTTTACTGAAGAGTCTCGCCTGAGTGTCGTGATTGTTGAGCCGATGCGTGCAGGTCATTAATAGTGAATTCGCGCCATTGACCTGTTTTAAATTGTGCTTTAGTGCAAAACTTAGCTTCATCCAACGAATATTTATTTTTTAATATTTTTTTTAATTCTATCAATCAAATTTAGATCCACTAGTTCATAGATCTTTATTTCTTTTTCAAAACTAAAGCGTGAATTCTCGCAAACAAACCAAATCTCGTTTTTCAACGTATATTTACGCCAAACCGAGATTTGTTTTCCCTTGCCGAAGTAGGAGCAATAAACGTTGTTCAAATATTTTCTAAAGTATTTGCCTGGACATATTTTAGTTATGTTTGTTATACGTCATTTTTGCCTATTTGAGTTATAGTTAATTGATCAAACAATTGTACTAGTTAACATCCTGAAGAAGGCTTGCTCATTCATAGACACTAAATACACATTCTTGTACACATATAAATCTATATTTAGACATGTAACTAGAAGAATCGAAATCTATATTTAGACATCTAACTAAACACAGTCAGAAGTCAACAGAAGACGGTACTTATTAGAACTTGACTTTTTGACCCCGTATCTATGGACCCTGGTACCAAACATGAAGATGTGTGTCCCGCCTCACCACCTCCAAACATTAGATCCACCCAATGATCGATTATAGTTTTCTCTATTTAATTGAATCCGTCAGGAGATGGTTATGTACATAAAACCCTTTTCATTTGGGACAGAGTATAATCACACATACACACACACATGTATATACATACATAAGCATACATACTGCCAGAGAAACACACACACACACACACATACATATACTCATTTATACGCCGAGAAACACATTCACACACACTCATGCATTTACATACACAAGCACACATAGATACCTAGAGAAAAAGTCACACACACATATACGCACACACAGACAATAACGGCACATTCAAACATTCTCAATTTCCATAAATAGATAAATAGACACATTGGATTGGATGAGTAAATATGAACATTTGATGCAGAATTTCCCTTGTATAATGTGCTTCATATCTGATTTATGAAGAAGCATTGGGTTAAATATATTGAGAAGGAAGGAGATTATGTCAAAAAATAAGCACGCGTAAAGTGTGGCTTTTT